GGGACCAGGGGCAACACTCACCTTGCAGAGTTGCTGGGAAAACCACCCGAAGAAACCCAGGCAGGGAGGAGACATTGTTCCTGCCCAGAGTTGTGCAGATTCTTGCGGGCACTGCCGGTCCTGGGTAGAGTGTTTCTCCTCCTCTCCTGGGTCCTCTGTCTGCGTCTCCAGGCAGCCCCTGCCCCGCCCCTCCCTCTCTTCCCCTCCTCTCCCCTCCTCAGGCCCAGGCTCATAGACATTCTGAGCAGACGAGCTCTTGCTCCTCTGCAGATAGATTCCTCTGCATGAAGGCTGATGCTGACATTTGATACCAGCATCCATGTCACTGCCTGGCTTCTGATCCCCATGCACCTCTCTCAGCTTTGCTGACAAATAATCCCATAGCCCCTCCTGACTGCTTTCATCGGCTCGCTCCTTTGTTCCTGAAACCAAATCTCTACTCCTAATCTCTCCCTCTCTTAGCTCCCCTCTGCCACCTGCCCCATCCGGACATGCTTAGAGGGACCTAGTGGCTCCTTCCAGCTCAAATCCCTGCTCAGGAGAGGGAACCCCCACTCTGGGGGTGCGCTAATTACGCGCATCCACACGCTCCCCTTGCCTCCCTCCCGACTTGGGGTTTAAGCTGCTTTTTGTTGGGCTATGGGAGTATTATAAGTGATGGTTCTTGGAATACAATTTTAATTAAGATTCAATAGTCACCTTCTCTGTCAGTAAGCTTCCATGCTGATTACTTAAAATATATTTACCCAGCTCTATTATGTCACAGATTTGAATTCATTAGACACTTGTTAATCCTTAACAAACTTTTTAAAAATAAGGTTTGGTTAACATAATTTACAAAGACAAAACTGTCTGAAACAATGGACCCTGTGCAGGGTGCACATCCCAAAGTGCCCGGGGCTTCCCTGCTTGGGGCCACTGCCACCCTCTATCAGAGGGCAGGTGACAGGACCAAGGATGGGCAGGCCCAGAGGATGCCGTAGGATGGGGTGGTCTGTCCACATTGCACTGACGCAGCCCAGACAGCAAGCCTTCTAGGGCACAGGGCAGGGTCAGAGAGGGTAAAGGAAGGATCCAGAGGGGCAAATCAAAGAGATCTAGCACAGGCCACCAGCAGGCTTGGCCCTGGACTCATAGGAACCTGACAGACATTACCACTTCCTATGTACGCCGTGTTGTGTAAATGTTGGAAGTGCTGCTTAGCCTCAGGTCACTTCAGCGTTTACTGACAAGAGCTTATAAAGAGGAAGCCTTTCTCTTGGGACCATAGGCTTTCAGCACACTACCCCCTCTCTACACATGCACACATGCATGCCTCCAACTTAACCAAGGAGGGACATCCTTGGGTGTGGCTATCCCTGGATCCCCAGTGGGTATAAGGGGATCTTCAAGTTCACCTCTACTTGAGCAGACACAACAGCCAGAGACATATGGACTACCTGACTCCATGACCATGGTGAGTCATGCTGGGCAGTGCAGCTGTTGGCTGCCAGAAGTTGTTTCTGAAGTTTCTGCCGTGACCGCACCTCTCCATAAAGATAGTCTTCTCAGCTGACTAACCAAATGAACCCTAAACAGTGTTAATACAGACCTCGGAACCTCAGTGACAATGCCAGAAACTGGCTTTGCTCAGTACTGTACTTCATTCATTCATTTAATTGATATTTACGGGGCACTTACGATGAGTTGGGTGTGTGCAAGGCACTGGAGGACAAGATAGGTAAAGTCCCTGTCTTTTGGAGTTTACGGTCTATGAAGGCAGATAGCTGAGTAATTAAGGAATTATAATGAAAAGTGCAGTGAGCATGTATGTAGGACAAGCATAGAATAAGGAGCACATAGCAGAAGGGTTTAATTTGGTTGAGGTTGTGGAGAGGCTTCCTGGAGTAGGTGGTGTTGAAGCTGAGACCCGGAGGTAGAATAGGAACTTGGCCAGGCAGGAGTGGAGTTAGGGAGAGAGGCCAGGAAGAAACCAGAGCATGTTGGAAGTCCTGGAGGAAGATCAAGCATGGCATTTATAAGTGAGAGACGTTGAGCCTAGCTGGGAAAAGAAGAGCGATGGAACAGAGGGTGGTAAGAGATAAACTAGGGTAGTGGCCAGAACCAGCCCTTGCAAAGATTTGTTCTTGTGCTAAAAATATAAGAAGAGGGTCAGCGCAGATGGAGAAGATTCCTGTTTGTTTTATCAGACTCCAGCTAAGTATGAACCTAGAAAGCCCAAGCTCATTTGAGCACAGGGAAGGTGGCAGGTGGAAATCTTTCACATGCAGACACCTCTGGGCTGGATGTCTCTGGCGAGACCTGGTTCAGGGTCGGATGATAACCCCTCAGGTCTGTTAAAGCAGGGACTGGCAGGGTGGATGGCTGCTCATGGAAACCCAGAGCAGAACTGTGTGGAATTAGGCGTGTTGGCAAAGGCTTGATGAGGGTGATTGTAATGAAGAAGATGAAGAGGGGGAAAAAATCCTCTACAACAGATATTGGCAAACATTTTCTGTAAAGGGCAAGACAATACATATTCTAGGCTTTGCTGGCCACATTATATCTGCTGCAACTACTCACCTTTGCCACTGTAGTGTGTGCCCACACGCACGCACGCACACACACGCACACACACACACACACAAGACATAGCCATAGATAATATGTAAATGAATTGAACATGACCATGTTCTAATAAAACTTTATTTCCATAAACAGGTGGCAGGCTGGATTCGGCCCTTGGCTATAGTTAGCCAACACCTGCTCCAACAACACTGTCCAATATGGTAGCCAATAGCCACATATGGCTAGTGAGCACTTAAAATGTGCTCTAAGTATTAAATACACACCCAATTTTAAAGACTTAGTGCAAATAAAAGAATGTTAAATATCTTGTTAATAATTGTATGTATTGATTACATGTGAAATAATATTTTGAATATAGTGGTTTAAATAAAATATATTATCAAAATTTATTTCATCTTTTTCTTTTTTACTCTGTATATGTCCGCTAGAACATTTAAATTACATTTATGGCTAGTAAATTACATTTCTATTGGACAGCGCTGAGCAGAAACAACACTCTCCAGATGGATTATAGATTAAGTCTTTGGCCCTTGAAGGGTCTTAGGTGGGAGATTTACCCTGAAATAGACACAATAATGAAATTCACATCTTCACAATAAAGTAATATCTAATTGGAGTAGGTTTTTAAATTTACCATACAGCCTTTCAAATCAGCTGGCTGTTTTTTCTGTGTTGGGCTTCTCAAACTGGGAGCTATGGAGCCCTACTTCCTCAAGATATTAATGATCGTTGCTCTCCAAAAAGAGTATCTTTAGCTAAAAAAGGCAAAGCAATGTAGAATTAAACATTAATCTATTTTCTTTACTGCAGCAGAATTTCTCAACCTTTCTGCACTTGCTAATGCATATCGAGCTTTTGCGAGAGCAAGAGAGAGCAGGCAGTGTGTCCCCAACTCGGTGGCCTTAGAACGCCTTTCTTGCAGAACCCTAGCCTGCACTGCTAGAAGGCAGTTTGAGAGCGCTGGTCTGCGTGAGGCTACACAACCCGTGTGCAGGGATTTTCAAAAGTCCAACTCCATTGATGTTTTCAGCACTACATAAATGGAGCCACAGCTAGTACAACACGGAGTAGTGAGAAAACTCTAAGATTTGGAAGTACAAAGGCCTGAGTCAAAGGCCATTCCTTCCTTCCCTAGATAACCATTCATGCAAAAGCACAGACTATGTGCCAGGCAGTACTTTCGGCCTTGAGTATGTAGTGGTGAATAAAAACAAACCCCTACATCTTGGGGCTCTGTTGCCAGTGCAGAAAACAAGCATTAAACAAGACAAGTAGGTAAAATAAATAGACAGGAGGTTAGATCGTGATCAGTTTCAAGGAGAAAATACAAAGTAAGGAAAAGGGATGTGCACGTCAGGGTGGGGCGTCGGGAGGGAAGGTGACTTTTGAGTGAACACCTGAAGGAGGCTATTCAGCGGTGGACAAGTCCTCATCTATATACACAGATAAGCCCTTCCTTATGACAGATGTTTCCAAAGCCCAAATGAGATGATGTACCTGAAGGTCTGGCCAGAGGACCCAGCACAGAAGAAGTTCATGCCTTTGCTTCCTGTCTCACCCCTCTTCTGCATTTCCCAAAGATTCATCCACTGTGTGGACTCTCCATGGTGAAACTTACCTATAACCAGTTCCCCAAAAACCCCAATAACTAGTTCTCCAGGGGTCAGCTCTCTCCCTGTCCATGTCCTTGTTCCTAAGGAATGCTAAGTCTAAACCAATTAAGAAAGTAACACTGCGGGGCGCCTGGGTGGCTCAGTCGGTTAAGTGTCCGACTTCAGCTCAGGTCGTGATCTCACACTCCGTGAGTTCGAGCCCCATGTCGGGCTCTGCTGTCAGTCCAGAGCCTGGAGCCTGCTTCAGATTCTGTGTCTCCCTCTCTCTCTGCCGCTCCCCACTCATACTCTCTCTCTATCAAAAAAATGAATAAACAACAACAAAAAAAAGAAAGGAAAACTGCTTCAAGATACATCCATAACACACTTTTCAAATCTGATGATTATTACTCGAACCACTGGTATGGATTTGTTCCTCCATTCATTCCACACATTTATAGCGCGCCTACTGTGTTCCAGACACTGTGCTAGACGTGTGGGATATAGCAATTCACAAAACAGATCAAAGTAATCTATCCCTGTGGAGCTGACATTCTCGTGGGTGAGATAAGAAATAGTCCATAAATATAATTAGTAAGTAAATTAAATAGTCTGTTAGAAGGTGACGATAACTAAGGGCGCGGGGGGAGTGGAACTGTATGAAAGGGACTGGTTGGAAGAAGAGGTTAGACCTCGCACGAGCACAGGCCATTCTCTGCTGCCCCCCTAAGGCAGGGGTTGGGGTGACCAGTGAAGCTCTGGTGGGGCATTAGGAAGTGGCCTCTTGACCCTGACTTTGTGTCCCTCCCTTCTAGGCACCACAGCCTGAGTGACCAGACCATGGAGACCCTGCTTGGTGGCCTGCTGGCGTTTGGCATGGCGTTTGCCGTGGTCGACGCCTGCCCCAAGTACTGTGTCTGCCAGAACCTGTCTGAGTCACTGGGGACCCTCTGCCCTTCCAAGGGGTTGCTCTTCGTGCCCCCTGACATTGACCGGCGGACGGTGGAGCTGCGTCTGGGTGGCAACTTCATCATCCACATCGGCCGCCAGGACTTCGCCAACATGACGGGGCTGGTGGACCTGACCCTGTCCAGGAACACCATCAGCCACATCCAGCCCTTCTCCTTCCTGGACCTCGAGAGCCTCCGCTCCCTGCACCTGGACAGCAACCGGCTGCCCAGCCTCGGGGAGGACACCCTGCGGGGCCTGGTCAACCTGCAGCACCTCATCGTCAACAACAACCAGCTGGGCGGCATCGCCGATGAGGCCTTCGAGGACTTCCTGCTGACACTGGAGGACCTGGACCTCTCCTACAACAACCTGCACGGCCTGCCCTGGGGCTCCGTGCGGCGCATGGTCAACCTGCACCAGCTGAGCCTGGACCACAACCTGCTGGACCACATTGCCGAGGGGACATTCGCCGACCTGCAGAAACTGGCTCGCCTCGACCTCACCTCCAACCGGCTGCAAAAGTTGCCCCCGGACCCCATCTTCGCCCGCTCCCAAGCCTCCGCCCTGACTGCCACGCCTTTTGCTCCACCCTTGTCCTTTAGTTTTGGGGGGAACCCGCTCCACTGCAACTGTGAGCTGCTCTGGCTGCGGAGGCTCCAGCGGGATGACGACCTGGAGACCTGCGGCTCCCCCGGCGGCCTCAAGGGCCGCTACTTCTGGCACGTGCGAGAGGAGGAGTTTGTGTGCGAGCCGCCTCTCATCACCCAGCACACGCACAGGCTGCTGGTTCTGGAGGGCCAGGCGGCCACGCTCAAGTGCAAGGCCATCGGGGACCCCGGCCCCCTCATCCACTGGGTGGCCCCTGACGACCGCCTGGTGGGGAACTCCTCAAGGACCGCCGTGTACGACAACGGCACCCTGGACATCCTCATCACCACATCCCAGGACAGCGGTGCCTTCACCTGCATCGCCGCCAACGCTGCCGGGGAGGCCACGGCCATGGTGGAGGTGTCCATTGTCCAGCTGCCACATGTCAGCAACAGCACCAGCCGCACGGCGCCCCCCAAGTCCCGCCTCTCGGACATCACTGGCTCCAGCAAGACCAGCCGGGGAGGGGGAGGCAGTGGGGGTGGGGAGCCGCCCAAAAGCCCCCCGGAGCGGGCTGTGCTCGTGTCTGATGTGACTACCACCTCAGCCCTGGTCAAGTGGTCGGTCAGCAAGTCGGCACCCCGCGTGAAGATGTACCAGCTGCAGTACAACTGCTCCGACGATGAGGTACTGATTTACAGGTGAGCCGGGGGCTGTGGCAAAGGCAGGGAGGTGTCTGGCAGGAGAGGGAGGAGGAGGTGACAGGGAGGGTGTTGAACTGTTCCCACCTACACCCCTTCTCCCCAGAGGTTCCTGTGGGATTCTTGGGGCAAACTGTGTCCTCTGTGCAGGTAAGAGGACATAGAAAGAACTTCAACTACCTGCCCGGGGGCAGCCCCAAGAGATACGTGTCAGAAGGACCAGGCCTCCGAGGGCGTGGCTGTGATAGGTGGGCATGTGGCTCTGAGCCTCTGGACTTTCTGGATTTTGAGCCCCAGGTGGGGGACACACAAGAACAATGAGGGGAGCTCTTGGCCAAAGGATCTAACTCCTCCAAGGAGGAATGAATCTGGCCTTCATCTGGACTCGCATGTATCGTGCTTAAGGCTTTGAGGCCAGAAAGAGTAGAACTCGGATCATGGCCCCACCACTTGCTACCCATTTAATTCTCCTGGGCTGCCTCAGTTTTCCCTACCTGTAAAATGGGGAGAAGCCATACCTGACTTAGGTTGGACATTTGAATGCAGGTGATCGAATCCAATTCAAACCGGCTGAAAAAAGAAAAAGGGGAAATGGAGACATAGTGTGTTGGCTCAGGTACTGTAAAAGTCAGGAAGCTGCTTCGGGCTCAGCTAGATCAAAGGACCCACCAACGTCCTGTATTCTCAGAGTTTCTTACATTCCCTAAGTTCCATTTTCTTCTGGTTTGGCTCACCCCCACGCAGTCTCTTTCCTCTGAGCTTCCCTCTGTCCCTTTCCCAGCTGGTCCCACAGAAGCCCTGGATGAGCTCTGATTGGCAAGAGCAGGTCACGGGAGCCCCCTGGATAGTAGAGGTGGGGCCGTCTTGCCCACCTGTGCTGACATCTCTGGGCATGATCTCCTTTAACTGGATATGGAGACAATGAAGTTGACCTTGTGACTTTATGGTGAGGATCAAGGGGTCATTTCCTGGGCCTGGTAGAAAGGGAGGTTAAGACTAAAAAACTGCACTTGAATTGCCCCTCAGTCATTCAGAGGGAGGGAGAGAGGAGCTCACAGAGGGACAGATCCAGGCCAGAGGGTCCAGGCTCTGACCTCGGATGAGTCCCCATCTCAGCCAGCCTTGGTTTGCATTAACCGAGAAGCACATGGCCTAGTATCTTACTGCTCAAGGAATGCCTGGTTTCTCCTGAAACCCTGTGTATTTTATTGCGTGCCTTTAAAATGATTATTCTGAGAAGGGATCCCGTAGGCTTCGTAGACACCCGAGGGTCCATGGTGCAGGAGAGGTCAAGAGCATTGAGATTTCTTCTGGCCTCTGTCTCAGTTGCTGAGTCTCTGGATCAGGATGCCTGAGAGAGAAGAGCTCACAAGGAAGGCATTCATTCACCAAATGGAGTCCCAGAGACTGAAGGGGGGCACGTCATGGGAACTGATAGAAACCAGGGTACTTCCCTGACTGGCCTATGCTTGGCTTGTCTGGACAGCAGCTCCTCCCCTCAGGATGTGCAGAAGGCAGCATTAGACCCTATTAAATATATACATGTGAGCACATATAAAGAGATCTATAGATAGATCATTAAGCCTAATAATACACATATGTAATTTTCTAATGATAAAAGTAATAGTCTGTAGTAAATTTGAAAAATACAATGACAAAGAGAAATGAGAATTACCTGTAATCCCACCACCAAAAGTTAACCTGTTTTCTTTCTCTACATTTTATCTCAATTCGAAATGATATTTATGGCCAGTCTAGTTTGTACTTCTTAATTCTTTGCACCCAACATTATACTTGCTTAGTTCCCATGGTAGTAAAAATATTTTCCATTTGCCTCTACCACAATTTCTTTAACTAATCTTCTATTGTTGAACATTTGGGTTTCTCATTTTCAGCATGAAAAGCAGTGCAGCGATGGCTCTTTGTACACAAATAGATTTGTGCAGGTTCAGTGCTGTGCTTGGCATATTTTTCTAGGGGTTGAATGACTGGTTTCATGAGTAAATTATAATCTTTACACATTCTGTGTAAATATTTATCGACCCCTCCCTATGGAAGGGGACAGTGCCCATTTCGACCACACCTTCGCCAATGATTGAATATATAATTACTTTCATCTTTGCCATTTTATAAGTAAGAAATGGAACTTGTTTTAATTTGCATCTCTTTGATAACTTGTGAGGTTGACCTTTGGAAAATAAGTATATTTCTTCACTTGTGAATTTATTACATGGTCTTGACTTTGGTGAGAAGTGTCAAGGTGAAAGGCGACCAGCTCTGAGGCTTGCACCGGCATAGGGTTGCACAGGCAGCACGCCCCTATCATACCCCTCCCCGGGGGACCCAGAAAGCCAGGCAGGGACACAGGAGGGGTTGGGACTCTGCTTCTGAAGTCACTCAAGATGGGAGTTCAAACTGCTTGCATTTGGTGATTGAGAACCTGGAGACACTAGGTTCTTAAAAATAAATAAAATGAATCTATCAGAAACCTTGGAAGGGCACCTGGGTGGTCCAGTGGGTTGAGCGTCCGACTTTGGCTCAGGTCATGATCTCTCAGTTTGTGAGTTCGAGCCCTGCATCAGGCTCTCTGCTGTCAGTGCAAAGCCCGCTTTATAGCTACTGTCTCCCTCTTTCTGTCCCTCCCTGCCTTTTCTCTCTCTCTCTCTAAAAAATAAGTAAACATTAAAAAAAAAAAGAAAAGAAAACGGAATAAAAACAACAACAACAAAAACTGCTGACTTCCTCTGAGCTCAGTCATGGGGACCAGGGGAGACAGAGCTCAGAAAGATTTCCAGATTGTGCGGGCACATAGTAGGTGTTCAGGGTACACGCGTCACTATCATTATTAGTAAAAGTAATAATAATGGTGAGAGGAAGACCATTATCTTGTCTGTGGCGCTTGGGGAAGGAAAGAAAAGCGAGGGCTGAATACACACTTCGGTCTTTAACAAGAAAGATTTCTAAAATTGGAAACAAAAAGTTCAGAGTGAGTCTGTAGTCAGTTGATAGGAGCGGCCCTCGCTGGTCACCTTGGCTGTCTGCTCACTCTGTGTCTGACACGTGGCTTTCCAGGCCGTGTCACATTCAGGGCTCCCAGGCATACCGCGAGACGTGGAAAGGGCCGAGAGAATTAGGAAACTCTCCCAGGCTCGGGCAGCCAGAAAGAAGCAGGACTGATTTGAACTGAGGCCGCTCCTGGAGTCACTGCTGGACTCGGCCCTGTGTTCATGCCGCCCAGCATCCTAACAGCAACTCTGAGAAAGAAGGAGACTCCAGGAAGGAAACCGAAGTTTTAGAAAATGAACTGTCCCCATAAGAAAGAAAAGACACCGGTGGCTGCACAGTGGCTTCTGATGTGCACCAGAAAGTGTACAAGAGAAGGGAAGAAAGGCCTGTATCCAAAGATGAGGAGGAGAAGGTGCTGTGTGGAGAGAGCTAAAGACAGTCGAATGGGGGCTGTTTAACCCCTGTTCTAGCAAGAAGGAAAAATGACAGCAGTCTGCAGGTTGGGAAGGAGGTTGCAGGGAGACTAGACCAGAAGCTGCAGGCCAGCCTGGCCTTTTCGGATTTGCCCCCACTCTCCCCAGCAAGGAGACCAGCAGCACAAATAGCACAAATCTGCACTACGAGCTTACTTGTGCTGCGCGCCGTGTTCTAAGGGCTTTATGCACACCGATTCATTTAGTCTTTACTATCCCCGGGAGGTGAGGGCTACGATTATGCCACTTTGCATATAAGAAACTTGCCCAAGGTGTGACACAGGGGTAAGTAGCAGAGACAGAATTGGGATCCCAGTCACCCAGGTAGGAAAAGCCCTATACCTTGCAGAAGGAAACAAAGAACGTGAGTGCTGGTCCCCAGGCCCTGAGGGTCACATTCAAGACTAAAGGAACGCTAGATGAGGTTCTCGAGCTGTGGGAGTGGTCCCGAGGCAGCATGGACAGAAAGAGAAGTGCCTCAGATGGGGAAAGGGCGGATATTCCGCTTTTCCAAGAATAGACCGCGTAAATCATAGGATGCTAGGCTGGGCATGGAGTCCCTGCCAAGTTCTAGAAAGGATTTCACAACAGATGGCGGCAAGCCCTGAGAAAAGAATGCTGATTGCCAGGCCCCAGCGTGGATTCACATGGGGAAAATCCTGCCTAATTACTGATCTGTCTTCAGGAGACACTGTGGACCCGCAGCTCTCAGACCCACGTGCCTCCAAGCCATTTACGAGGCTACACTCCTCGGTTGACACGCTCCTTGTACAGCGATTCTCCGCTAGACCCTACCCCCATGTGGCCCCACAGGGAAGAAGAGTCGAATCTCTGGGGTGCTGAGTGCCCTTGGAAAGCATCCCAGGAGTTTCCATTGGCTATGACTCACAACCGTAAACAGAGCTCCTCACAATTTTATAGGACACTTGACAAAATCTCACACTGTGTTTGGGACAAAATGGAGACACGCGTGCATGGTGAAATGGGCTTGAAACTGTTCAAGTAACCAGACTGATAAATTAATGTGAACATGCAACAAAGCCTCTACCGTGTGCCTCAATTTCTGCCCCCATTTCTGTTCCTCTTGATACATTTCCCTCTTGTCATGGATAACGATGCGGAAAACGTGTCTTCCCTTTGGTTCAAGGATTCCATTGAACAAGCACAAGGTGAAGAAAATCTGGCTCAACTGGAATTCTGTGCAGCATGGGGTCTGGAGTTTTAGTTGATCTCAAGGACATTATAGCCCCAAAGTGATGGAGCCACTAAGACTCCTATGGTTTTGATTGTGTTAACAGAGATAAAAGGCTCAGCTAGGGAGAGATTACAATTCTAACCACGGAATCATTCGAGCTGGTCAGAGCAGCGATGTAGAGTGTTTAGCACAGGGTGGCGCAGTCTTAAGAATCATTTTACCAATTGCAATGTGTCCAGAGATCAGTTGATGAGAGTGGGATTCTAGAAGCTCGTGTGAGATGGACAAACGTTACCTTGGAGAGGAGAGGACGTAGAAAAGAAGTCGTAA